GTAGCCCATCGAAACTTGTCGTGTTCACCAAATGCTTTCGCAAATGCCTCCAAAAAGGTTTCAAAGTTGTTTAGTATGGACGATCGTTTCTCAAACAAAGGAGCAAACCATGATAGAGCTTGTCCTGTAAGTAAGGTTCCAACAAGTCCAACACGTGACTCCTCCGTTGGATAGCGTTCGGGCTGTAAAACTGTTATCAACCTGATTTGATTGACGAATCCTCGAAACTTGGAACGTGTACCATCGAACTTATCCGGAAGGCTAACTCGGGGTTCCTTATGTTGTAGAACCAGCGGTGCTTGTTGAACTTGAGGCAAAGTTGCTTCTCCAAGTGTAGAAGTTTGAGGCTGGTGCAACCTAGATTGTGCCATCCCAGATGCTCCATCATTATGAAGCCTTGCCACAACTCCTTCAATCTCTGCAGTTCTTTGCGATAATGTAGTGAGGGCATTCATGATAGCATCTAACTTGGACTCTAAACTTTCCGTCATACTAATGTCTTGGCCCCCGACCATTCTTAGAGAAGGACAAAAATGACTCTACAAGAAGACAATATTGGTTTAGAGGAGGGTACTCCGCAACCTCTAAAATGCCTTAAGAGCTTCAAGAAAAGGGGTAATCTACTCTCTCCAAGAAGAATAAGACTCCAATATTGTAACAAAAGAAGTATCAGTTTAGAGGAGGGTAATCCGCAACCTCTAAAGTGCTAGTACACTTCCAAGCAGAGGAGTAATCCACACTCTAACAAAGAAGAAACTAGCTCAGATATCTGAGGTAAGTGAAGTCTCGACAAACTGTCACGGACACAGAATACAGACTTGATATCTACCAAGAAGTTCAAGAAGAACTGGCAAGAACTAGATTAATCAGATGAATATAAGAACAATACCAGAGAGGTGAGCTAGAGCTCCAAGAGATGTGTTGTCGAGACTGAAGAACTCTTCAGCCTCGATCCCAATATATACTCCTATTTAGGAAGCTTCTCAAGCAACTTCTACCAACTAGGAAGCTTCTAGAAGGTTCTAGAGACTTGCTTCTAGAAGGTTCTAAAAACTTATCTCTAGAAGGTTCTAAGGACTATGTCCCTAACATCTTCTACTAACTAAGAAGCTTCTAGAAGGTTCCAGAGACTTGCTTCTAGAAGGTTCTAGAAGCTTGTCTCTAGAAGGTTCTAGAAACTTGTCCCTAGAAGGTTCTAAGGACTATGTCCCTAACATTTATATCAAATTTTGATTCAGCCTCTTATTATATTTAATTTTGCATCATCTATCACAGAGAGTCGTGTTTCTTTGTGGCATGGATAATTGGAACATCCAACATCTACATTATTTAGAAAGATCATTCCATGTATAACTGGGCAGAATTTAAACCCTCTAGATATAGACTCTATGGAATTATGTCGTATATGTTTGCAAGATAAGATGATTACTCAGCTTTTAATTTGGAAACTCCCACAAGAATTACCACCAATGCTTGAAAGATTGCATGGTGATATTTGTGGTCCTATTAATCCAATATCAGGACTATTTCATTATTTTTTGGTCTTTGTTGATACATCAAGTAAATAATCACATGTTATATTATTATCAACTCAAAGCATGGTATTTGCCAATCTTATATCTATGCTTATTTTTTTTCAGGCACATTTTCCTGATTATCCTATAAAAACATTGCGTGTAGATAATACAAAAGAATTTGCATCAAAGTCTTTTGAAGACTATTATACTGCAACAGGAATTGAGTTGACATATTGTGTTCCATATGAACATGGTCAAAATCGACTTGTAGAGTCATTTATAAAGCGTATACAATTCATTACCCAGCCACTCTTCCTTCATACAAATTTACCTGCATCTATGTGGAATCATGTAGTTTTACATGCTGCAGCATTAATATGCCTCTACCCTTCTTCTATTGAAATTGTTTCACAACATGAGCTCATTTTGGAACATGTTCCAAATATATCTCACTTATGAGTATTTGGTTGCCATATTTAGATTCTAGTACTAGAACCTCAATGATGTATCATTGGGACTCATCTACAAAAAGACATATATGTTGGTTTTGATTCACCAAGCATTATTTGTATTCTTGATCTATCAACTGGCACATTATTACTTGCATATTTACAAAATTATCATTTTGAAGAGAATGTATTTTCATCTCTTCAAAGAAGAGTATCCAATCAACAAAGAAATAAAGTACTTATATTTAAAACACTGAAAACATTTACAATGAATCCCGATCCTAAGACATCTTTGACTGAAATTGAAGTTGTTAAGATTTTACATCTAAAATGGATTGCAGATGAAACACCTGATAACTTCAATGATGAACCTAGAATTATGAGAGTTCCTATTGATGAGGCTCAAAATGCACTTGCTCAGATTGCAGTGTTATTGACTATAATACATCTAGTTATAACAACAACAACTAAAAGAACTCGTGGACTAGATAAACAACCACATAAAAAGAAAGCTATTATATTGACTAATCCTAGTATTATTTTTCAAGAAATTGCCATTCATCCTATGGGACCACCAATTCATGATGATATATCCATGCATAATGTACCTTCAATTCTTTTGGAAAAAAATCTTAGAATTGGAAGAGATAAGAACAAGTTGAATAAAGAATTATCTATTCTGTATTGTGCTACAGATGATATTTGGGAAAGACCATCTATTACGGTAGATGAATCATTGCATGTATGATTATAAAAGCCCTTTCTTACGAAAAAAATGATCTTGAACCTCAAACCATTGAGGAGGCGATGCGTCGCTTTGATTGGTCAAAATAAAAAATACTATTGAGGAGGAGTATGCTTCTTAACATAAGAAGAAAGTCTTTGGTCCAATTGTAGATACTCTTATATCTTGGCTTGTGGGATATAAGATGGTATTAATACACAAACGAGATGTTCAGGGTCAAATAACCTATTATAAAGTTCATCTTGTTGCTCAAAGATTTATTCAACTATTTGGCATTGATTATGAATCTACATATTCTCCAATCATGGATTCAATTACATTTTGATATATTATTAGAATGATGGTTCATTCCACCTTTGAGATGCATCTAATGGATGTGGTAAGTACATATCTATATGGTTCTCTTGATGCAAATATTTATATGAAAGTTCCACCAGGTTTAAAAACAGGAATTTCAAATGGATCTATTCTAAGACAATATTGTAGTATTAAATTATATAAGACCTTGTATGGTTTAAAACAATCTGAATGCATGTGGTATGAACAACTTTGAGATTATTTAATTACACATAAGTTTATAAATGATCCACTAATCCCTTGTTTCTTTATCAAATGAGATAAAAGTGGTTTTGTGATCATCGCTGTATATGTTGATGATCTTAATCTAGTAGACACTACATCTGCATGTATTACAGCTACTAACCTACTTATACATGAATTTGAAATGAAAATGCTAAAAAAAATAACTTTATACATTGGTCTTGAGATTATGCATCTCACAGATGGTAGCATTTTTCTCTACCAACTAATGTATATTAGACAAATCTTGTAAAGATTTAATATGATTGATGCTTATCCATTGTCCACACCAATGGTTGGACGTGGTCGTGATGGTCATGATCCATACTATCCATGTGAGGAGGAGGAGGAAATATTAGAAGATCAATATCCATACCTCGCAAAGGTTGGAGCACTTTTTATATTTGGCTATATCTACAAGACAAGATATTGCATTTGCAGTTAATATTCTTGCAGGACATAGTGCACATCCAACACTATAACATTGGAATGATATCAAATATTTATTACATTATTTAAAAGGTATTGAAGACTTAGGATTATACTAAACATAATTTGCAGATCCAAAATTGGTTGGATATTGTGATGCGAGATATAAATTTGAGACTACAACAGCTAAATCTCAAACATGATATATATTTTTAAGACATGGAGTTGTAATATCATGGAAATCAATGAAACAAACAATAACTGCAATTTCATCCAACTATGTAGAAATTATTGTCTTCCATGAAGCATCTTGAGAATGTATTTGATTGCGATCAATTCATAAATTCATTCAAATAACTTGTAGATTTTCATATGATGATTCTCCAACTATCTTACATGAAGATAATAGCACTTGTATTGCATAGATGCAAGTTGGTTTCATTAAAGGCAACAAGACAAAGCATATTGATCCAAAGTATTTTAGTTATATCCATGACTTGATTACTGATCAAGCTCTTATAATTAAGAAAATTGAATCTACAAATAATCTTGCTGATCTCTTCACTAAAGCTCTCCCATTGTACAACCATCGTTGACTTACTTATGGTATTGATATGTGGTGACTTGTTTTTCTTGAATAAGAAAATTAATGAGCTCTTTAAATAATTAAAGAAAATAATATTGTACTCTTTTTTCTTCATCTATGGTTTTGTTCTTAAATAAAATAAGGTTTTCCTAGATAAGGTTTTAATGAAGCAACAATTATTGATCTTGCGAGATTACATATAAGTATAGATCATAATTTTGTAAAAATTTTATATTATATAAATATTATGATGAGCAAGGAGGAGTGTTGAGAGCATTAAATGTAGCCGGTGCTCTCCATAATATTTAATGTAGTCTAAAATAAATACTATAGCTATAGTATTTGGAATGTAGTGGAGAGGAACTGTTTATCCTCTCCCCTTCTCTTCTTGTATACTAGACACAACCAAATCAATAGATTTTTATGTGTGAAGCTCTCTCTCCTTAGAAACCCTTGTGTGTGTATTACTTACTATTACTCTTGTGTGTGTATTACTTAATACTACTCTTGTGTCTTTCTAAACATTCTCAACAATAACCTCATAGAAAGCATTCACAGCCACCTGGAGAATGACATTCTCAACAGTAACCTCATAGAAAGCATTCACAGCCACGTGGAGGATGAGGTGCGCATGGTGGAGGTTCAAAGTTGGACTTCTGTGAATTTTTCTAGTCACTGTATCCTGGGTTGGTCGCACTGGTGTTGGAATCGAGTCATTAAACTTCTTTCCGGTCTATTTAAGCTAATCCCTGTGATTGCTAGTGGGATCCGAGAGTTTTGCTGAGCGAGTCTTAAGTGGGCTGTTATGTTGCTAGCTATTGTACATAGAGAGTAGATTTAAATTAATTTAATTGTTTTTGTTTGGTTTACGAGGTTTTGCTTTTTGTAAGGTCTTGTTTAGAATGAGATGGGGAATGGTGGAGGGAAGTGTGCGAGTAGGGAGCAGAGTGCGCGTTCGTCGCGGCCGCCAAGGCTTCGGTCCAAGAGGCGCGAGACACTCGTGCAGGCGTCCACAAGTTCAGTTGCGTTGAAGCCAAGTTCCAGCAAGGAGAAGGCCATCGAGTTCGACCCTGCCACTCTGGTGCCTGTGATTGGCAAGGTTCGTTTCCGTCTCACACTCTTGCACTCCTCTAGCCCCCAATTGGTTGGCTTGGCTCACTTGGAATGATTAACCGAGTAACATCTGTTTCTTGACCTCGATTTTATAGAAAGACCCTACTGAAGTTGCGAAATTCAACGATGATGGCGACAATCGGATCGATACAAATATTACCTTTGATGTGGACAATGCTGCGAACGAGTCGGGAAGGAGGCTCCAAGACGACGAGATCCAAAGAGTTGATATGAAGGTCGCAGATATGCTCCTCGAGGACAGGAGCATACCTGTTAACAATCGAACAGCTGATCCGGGACAAATTCCCGCCATTCCGGGTGAAACTGAGGACGATGCATATGGTGCTGTTTTGCTTGCTGAATTGTTCATTTTGTGACTTTTAAAATAGGATTAAATTGCATTGAATCACGCACATGCCCTTGCGGTATGATCTTTGTGCGTTGGATCTTGTATTATGATATCGATTATTTCCTATGTGTGTATATTCCTGTTGAAAATGTATCTGTTTCGAGATTTCTTCTGATTTAGCATCATTGACGCGGGTTGTTTAGAATTGGCCGTTTCAGCTCTAGTTTGGATGCGGTGATTACACATCAACTGATTACGCATTTTCTGGATGTAGGTTTTTCAGTGGAAACCCCGCTGGAGAGGTCGGCGAGTCTCACGGACAGCGAGAATCAGGGTTCTCTGACAGCGCCTCTAGCCACCAGTGAGACCGAGGGAGCGACATCCCACAATTCCAGAACCTCGGCTGACACGACGGCTTCTCCTCGGGTATGATACAGGCCTAAAAGCAAATGTTGGTTTCTAGCTGTGGCATGTCTCACGTTTTCTTGCTTCTCGAAGAAAAAGAAAGCAAGAGGAGTGACTTTCAAAAGAGATGTGAGAGTGGAGAGATATATGGGAGGGTTATACTAAGATTCATAGTAGTAGGAAGAATAAACTTCTCCGTAGGAGCAAAGTTACGTGGTGATAGAGCAACATGGTCAAGATGCACTAGGCTAACTTCTCTTGGATACCTTCTTCTCCGAGAACACTCCAACTTGCTTCACTGAGTCAACAAGTTGGTTGTTTGATAGGATTATCAACCGTGGAAGGAGTGGTTTTCCAACTGCACAGGAGAACTCGGCGAAAAGGTTTTGGACGTTGTCTTCTTTCATGGCCTCCAAAGAGGTCATGGAAGGAGCGCGCGAGAAAAAACATGGACCAATTCTGATGGAGCACTCTGGCCGAGGGATTGGCTACCACGTTTGCTTGAAGGAATTCTCAACGGGAGAAAGCTGCGAGTGCTGGGCATTGCATACAACGCACAAGCAAGTTCGTGGCGAACTGGTGATTATGGTGTGAGAGCCGATGGACATAAAGATATTGCTCATAATTTGTCCCAGATTCTGATCGTGTCTGAAAGGTAAGTATATTATTATTCTTGTCTAGCGGTGAGTGTAGACCGTCACAGTAGTCTTTGACTAGTTAGCTTATATGATTTGTTTTGCTGGGAACAACGATGGTTAGAAATTACGTGTAGGTGAAGGTCCAGACTTCACATTCATCTTTAACAGGGTTGTTGATGGTGCCATCTTGTTTAATTTTGTGCAGTTGTCCCTTGGGAAGAAATCCATTTGTATTAGTCAGCCATTCTTATGGTGGTATTGTCATAAAGAGCTTGGTGGCCTATTGCAATGGCGTTTCCAATTCACCACTTGAGAGAGGAATGGATCGTCTCAAAATTGCAGAAAGCCACGCCGCTGCTAAGTTTATGGAAGAGCTCCAGGCGTGTGTGTTCTATGGTGTGCCTCATAGAGGATCAATTTTTGCCACAATCGCCAGTTGCTTTTTATTGCGCACGGGAAGGACTGTTTCCGAACTGAGGCCTGGCAGTCGGGAGATTTTGCAATTGAATAGAGAATATGAGTTGGCTATGCAAAAGCGACATGTGATACAATACGCATTTGTTGAAACCATTCCGGTGGTAAGTCGAGGGTCTACTTTTCTCTCGGTCTAATAGCTGGATATGTCCATCTCGGCTTTCATGTCCAATTCATAGCCCTGTTCTAGGTTTCGAGAAGCCTTCTTCAACGTATGATCAATTCACTAATAGGTCAAACTCTTTCCAACACTGAAAAGAACTTATAGTATGATCTTGTAGTACTTCACACGTACAAATTTATACATCTGCATTTCAATATACCGATAACCTGTTGAACATCAAGCACAAGATCTGTGTTTTGTACTTCAAATAGGATTTAGTTAGCATGGTAAAAGTTTTGAGTGTCTCATCTGTGGAATGTAGACTGACCAAATATGCTGTGCAGGTATGGAACTGCATGGTGGTAGATTCTTCTTCTGCACGAGGGTCCCTTGATGATCATGAATATGTGGCTCTACCGGGCACCAGTCACAAGACTGTGTGCAAGCATAGGACAATTCAATCTGTAGGGATTGTAAAGTTTGTAGAGTTGATCAAGAAAGTTGCAACAGCCCTGGATCCTGCACCATTAGTGGTGCCTATCTCTACGAATGAAAATGCGTATTCAGGTACTGCCAACTAGCGTCACATGCTTGACAAGGCTGGCTCATGCTATGTGTTGGACGAAATATCTTCAAGAACTTTAGTCGTAGGGGAGGGAGATGTTTATGATGAATTTGTAGTAACAAGTGCTACTAGAGGGAGTCACACAACCCTCGAAACCTCACAATTACATCCTCAAGGGAGTTTAGGATTCTCATTGTTCAGCTCCATTTGGTTTTCTGCTTTTCACAGGTTGCAATAACAGGAACTTATTCTGCTTGGTTTTGTGTTTGAAATAGGTCACCCTATTCACAGAGGTGATGCGGCCCAAAACTGCAATGAAGAGACCCAAGGACGTGATATGAAGGTCGCAGATGCGTTTCTTCTTGAGGACAGGAGCATACCTGTTAACAACCGAACAGCTGATCCGGGACAAATTCCCGCCGTTCCGGGTGATGTTTTACTTGCTGAATTGTTTATTTTGTGACTTTTAAAATAGGATTAAATTGCATTGAATCACGCACATGTCCTTGCGGTATGATCTTTGTGCGTTGGATCTTGTATTATGATATCGATTATTTCCTATGTGTGTATATTCCTGTTGAAAATGTATCTGTTTCGAGATTTCTTCTGATTTAGCATCTTTGACGCGTGTTGTTTAGAATTGGCCGTTCAAGCTCCAGCTTTCCTGTAGCATTTGTTGAATGTTGCGGGTGAAATACTTCAATGCTTTTGTTTCTTCGTCGGATTTTTGTGCTCACGCATGCTGGTTAGTTTGGCGTACAGCTCATGTGACCAATATGATCAGGGATAAGGCCCCTGCACCCACGCGTAAAGATACATGTGCGGCGGCGCAGTTGGGGTCCACGTTGTACGTGGGGAACTTGGCGTGGAGTGTTGGCGAAGCGGACCTTGCCAAGGTTTGCCAAGGTTTGCATGTGGGCGACGTGAAGAAAGTGGAGGTGATTTATGACCAGCAGCGCCGGAAGAGCCGAGGGTTTGCGTTCGTGACGATGGCCACCAACGACGACGCGCACGCTTTGATCAGTGCATTGGACGGCTTTTATATGAGAGGGAGGGCGTTGAAGGTGAACTTCGCGCACAAGTGGTTGACTCCGCGGTTTAAGAGGCGAGAGGGGTGAGAGGGGGGGCAGAGGGGTTCTTTATTATTACTAGGTGAGAGCCCAAAACTGAGTTGATAATGTGGAGGTCAAATAATGTTGAAATCTATGAATGCATGACGTATTCGTTTCTGCAGTGATTGTGTGTTTTCTCTCGTTCATACTGCAATAGTTGAGTTTTTTCTTTTGTTGATATATAACAATACGTCTTTAAGTAGCATGTACTAGTAGTTTGTTGTAATTGAGTAAGTTACGCTATAGCTTCTTTAGTTAAAATTCTGCCGATGGAGTTATTGATGGTTGGATCAGCTCTGGTTAAATTTAGGGTTTTAATGAAGTTGAAGAATGACTGTCTTATGTTATTGAATGGGTGATACTCTAGAGGAACGGTAGTGGCTGCGCTTCTGGCTCTTGCATTTGGTGCACCGTCCCATGCTTGTAAATTTCAGTAGCTTTACCATGTCAGGATACCGTCTTCATTTGATATGGACGTAGACTTGATTGCTCTTGCAACTCATAGATTCGTGACTGTTTGTAGATAACATTGGTTTTAGGAACAGTGGTGGCTTTGTTTTCTCGCTGGTTTCTCTTCTTTGTTTTCTCTCTCATTTCTCTTCAACTTTGAAACGCTTTTCCATTGCGTTGGGGTTTGTCTTGAGGAATCGTGATTTCGTTGATGATTTTTGTGAATTGCAGTTAGTTGTACAAGATTTTGCGAGCTGTTTTCTTGTTCTTGATTGCTCAGGTGACAGCTCTCTTACACGCATATGTTGTTTTCCCTTGTTGTGTCATGCGTGTTGCTGACATGCTTTTCTTCAAATAATACTCTGCATGATTTTAAGTAGAATGCTATTCGGATTTGCAGTTTTTTTGGATTCGTGGATCGTGTGCACCTAAACATCTGTTTCCGTATTTCTGCTACCGTGTAGAGCTAAAGTGTACTATGACCGAATGTTAATTGAATGCTTCCTTAGCTCTACGAGGCTTTTGATTCATTCTCGACGCTTTCATCGACTGTCATCTCCTGCTATTTTGTTTTCTAGCAACAATAGAAAATTTACTAAGAACTCGCAGATCCGCAGAAAAGATGAGCTTCATGTCCTCGTGGACAATTCAGGATGGCAACTGTGTTTCCGAGTATGACTCACCGAGGCTTGACAGAGAGTGTGACTCAAAGATACGCTAGTTCAATAACGTGAGCAGAAATGAGAAATGGTAGGAATCCCTGGAGAAAAATATGTGGGCCCTCTCACCCATCTCAGCCCAAGAATTTTCACCTTCCAAACCCAGTAACGTATCCATGACGGTTTTGGAATTTGAAAACTCGGGGACCTGCAGTACCCCTGAGCGTGAAGGCACCTTATCTTGTGAAGGATCATTTGCTCAGACTCCTGGTGTAAGCCCTTCTCTTGCTGCCCTGCCTACTTCTGGATCATTAACACCCTTTCAGCAATTTCAGCGCAAGGATCCTGATTTACAGGTTAAGTCCTGTATCATATTCTGTCCATTACATTCCACATTTAATTCTATTATGTCTCTATTGTTGGACCTTCATCTACAAGAGATCCTCAAATTCTGATGTACCAAATTCTGAACCTAGCTGAGTAATATAGTCAATGTGATATTGTGTCTTTGAATAAATTCCCTTAATGTGGAGAAAACTAGAAATGTGTTTTTTGACATATGCTAACGCTTTGATGTTAACAGATGACGCTTGTGAAGCAGTACCTTGCCGTGATCAATACAACAACCAGGTTAGTGTTTTGTTGAATTTTGGAGCATGTTCATGTTCATTAACTGTAGCTTTCAGATGAGGATTTTTAATTAATTAAAGTCTTTCAAATTTTTCTCATTCCGTGATTTGCATGCTAAACTTCTTGTATTGTGTATGTCCAGGGAGGAGCTCCTGCAACTCAAGGTAAGCCTTTTTTGGTCTCATGGGATAAATGATTCTCTCCCTTCTCCCATGTATGACACCTATACATCTAGATCATATTAGCTCAACTACATGTTTAAGACTACACCACTGTTTGAATTTATAGGGGATTGGACCTAAACGAGCAGCAGGGATGCTAGAGTTGCGACAAAACTGAGGAACCATTTAAGAAAGTATTTTTATTTCTTCAGTCTCTCCTATGCGTGACCTTTACGACTCAATCAAACCCAAAAGCAAAATCCACACAAAAAGTGTTCCATTATTAATCATGTCAGAAAGCCATTCTCTGATTTTCAATTATGTGTTACACTCGCTTAGGATGGCCACTTGAACTTTGCATGAACCTGTTTGGCTATCTTCACCTAATCTACTGCATTGTTCTCATGTTGCAGTTACAAGATCTCAATAGTATTGTAGTCAGTGACAAACAGGTGCATTTTCAATTTTCATTTCTGATAGTATAGATAGTATAAGATGATTTATAAATCCTATGCTACCGGGTTTGGTTTTAAGCTTAGAACACTATTTGCTATATAGTTTCTAGTTCATATTAGTAATCCTGGTGCTTTATCATGTCTCTACAGTGCCTAATGTTGGTTATGTGCTTGAGTGATTGATCTGTTACAAATAGAACATGCTTCTAAAATATTTTGCTGATTGATGCTTGCAGGCATTCTCATTAATAGGGGCGTTGTAGAGTAGGTTATTTTCCTTGAATATTGAGAGCATCCTGTCAAGAGATTGTGAATTTGCAACCTAAAAAGCAAAGCAAACCTTAGCTCAGTGAGTGCGCGGAGGAATCCGAGAGGACTTGTGTCATTACTAAAAAGTGGGGTCCTTTTTGACACAGTTTACGACACCGAAATGTTGTAAAATGATGATAAAAAATTGCATTTTTTGACATTTGAATATTGAAAAAAGTGTCGAAAACCGTCTTAAAAAATGTTGTACTGAATGTCTATAAAAAGTCATTGTTTACGGCACAATGTTCAACACAGCTTTCTACATAGTGTTTGATGTGGTTTTTTACATTCCTACATTGTTTTCGACATTTTTTTAACATTCTTTTTGACGTGTATTCCTGCATAACCTTCAACATATGATTTGTCATAATGTGTTATATGTTTTTTTGACATAATTTTCAATATACTTTTGGCATAATGTTAGACTTAGAAGTGAACATATTTTTATACCTTGTTTCACTTAACAGAAATCATTCCAAATTTCAAATTTCAAATGACCAAATTTAATGGATGAATCTAGAAGTGGCCAAATTTCAAATTTCAATATTGACCACAATTTTCATCCAAATAAAGTATATGACAAGTCAAATTGAAGATCTCAAAGATACTCTTCCAATGGGACAATTTCCACTTTGAAGTAATAAAATTGAATGTGCAATTGAGAAATCCGCTAAGTATAACGGACTAGGGACCAGAATCCCCAGTTTTCCTAAAATTGGGTGTGGAACCAGGGAGTGGAGACCAAAAAAATGCACTACAGTTAGAGTGGAGACAAAACTCAAAATTGCACCAAAAGTGGTGCAATTTGATTTCAGTCCCCACTCTAACTGTAGTGCCCAGTCTAATGCCATGGCAGAGCATGTGCATGTGAGCTGCAAGGTGTGTAAGCAAGGCCAAAGATTTGGTCCTTAATTTGGTCCCCAGTCCCCTAGACTTAAGGGATGACTCAAAACAAGGCATGAAACGACAGATTGGGGACCAACAATGGACCAAATTGGGGAGTACTTGGCAGATTTCTCTAGTGAGTGATTGAAGTTTTGACCTAAACTATACAATTTTCTATTTTTTTCAGCTTTGGTCATCAAGTCTTGTTTCAAGGTGTGTATGTAGTGGAGTGGTATTTGAATTCTTTGATGCGGACCTTGAGGTCGTGGATTTACTTCTCTATAGTGACTATGATGCATTTTGCTTGTTTATTTTTTTGAGTAGCTCCTGAGAGGAAGGAAGGTGGCCAAAGCCACAAAAAAGAGGAGAGGAGAGAATAAGAGAAGATGAAGATGGATGGCTACCTCCGTAAAGGAGAAGGAAGAGAATAAAGTGAGAAAAAATGGTAGATACAAAGTTATTAAGGGGGAAGGAAGAAAATAAAGTGAGGAAAAATGGTAGATATAAAGTTATTACAAGATGATAAAATGTTTAAAAAATAAAAATAAGTTCCTAAGGAGAAAATAGAGGAGAATGAAGAGAAGGGATGTTGGATAGTTGGAGTTTTTGGTGGGATTAAAATGTAAAAAATATAAAAAGTTGAATATACTTTTATATATTTTTTAAAAAAGATTACACTTTTAAATTAATAGAGGTTCAAAGGAATTAGATGTAAAAAAAATTAAATGTAGTTTGTAAGTATAAATTTTATCTTTTAAATCAAATTATAAAATGCCCTCAATTAAAAGTTGTTTATAATGGGTAGTGTGAAGTGAAAAATGCAATGAACAAGAACAAAAGAAAGAACAATACAAATAAGTGAAAAGAATGTATAGAAGCAAATACGCACTCCAAAACTTAGTCACAATCTGTTCACTATATTTTCATCTAATAAAAAGTAAAATTTTAAATTTTAAAGTATATTTTTAGATAGATAATTTTATTTTATTTCTAATAATATAAAAACATATAAATGAGAATTATTATGAGTAAGTTATGGAAGTTTAAAGATAGGAAGTAAATATTTGAAAAGTTAAGTGAAAATATTTCACCTCAAAGGTAATTTGCATATAGATAAAAAATTCGAGCCTCACCAAGACTCATATGTAATGTATGAGAGTCTTTAAGAGAGGCCACGAGGCCTTAGTCTTATCCTCCTAACTACCTTCAAGGTGCTACAATTCATATGGGACTTGTGCACCTCTCGTCTTACAAGAACTACATTAGCTGTTGGTCCTTCTATTTTCTACTAGTAGGACTAACATTTTTGCATTTTTGACCTCACCATAGTGTTCAAAAACTTCTTATTAGCCTCACATCTCTACATGGCCTTCAAATCTTGCTCCATTTCTTCATAATGGCTCTTCAAGTGATAAAACTCATTTATTACTCAAAAATAAGTAAAAATACTAAATCAACTAAAATAATTGTCCTCAAGACTTATTAAGACTCCCTTTTTACTACTAATATTTTAATTCTTTATTTATCTAAGAATTTCTACATAATTCATCATATATTATAATTTTGGCACTTTAAATATATATCTTTTTTTCCTAAAAAAAATAATGAGTCTATTTGATAATTCACATAATTCTTAGATTTCTACTTTTTAGTGTTATTCTTTGATATAGTTATATACTTTTAAATTAGTAGAAGTTCATTTTTTATAATTACATGTTCTTTAAATCATTCAAATATGTTTTTATTTTATTGGAACCAATTGTTTTTATTCTATATCATTGCTATTTTATTTTAATTTTTTTGAATCTAATTAAATTATTTTTTAAAAATCTATTTAATGAATATATTACTACTACATGCAAGAATTTTTGAGACCAAATCTTAAACATATCTATGATCAAAGCATATAATTTATCAATTTATGTAAAAGAATAATAATAAATTTTTTATGTATAATTCTATACTTTCTATTTACAAGATTTTATGGCTACATGTATACTATTATTTCTTCTCCAAATCTCTATAAATATAGATTCAAAATTATTTAAAAAATTCTTCTAAGAAGTTTAATAAGGTAGTTGGCATTTAGAAGCAAAGTTGAATCTTTATGTAATTTTGAAGAGGATTTTAATATAAAGGATTATTCTACATGTATATGTTAAAATACCCTCAAATGCAAAGCATCAACATCTTTAAAATAATACAAATATTATAATTTTTAACTCAAAGAAGGATGGAATATGAATTTATTTTATTAAAAAATTAGATTCAAATGAATGGAATACTTAATCCATCCATGAAGTTATTTAAAAAATACACATGGATGTCAATATGGCATTCAATATTCTATTTTGATCAACATTGTATCCAATTTTGTAACTTGTTCATGATAAAATTAATTCTATTAATCTATTTGATGAATTATTCTCTAATGTAATAATAACTTTTAATAGGTTTATTGTCTTATTAACAATTGCTTCACTAATCTAGCTACTTATGACTTTAGTTTCAAAAATGATTTTTTTATATAATATTGTAAGTTTAAAAATTCAAATTTGAAAGGTTATATATATATATATATATATATATATATATAATGTAAAATACCTTGATTTTTGATTGACCAATTAATTATTAAAATAAGTATTTGATAATTCAGGAGTATAAAAGAGGTCACTACAACATCATTTGTGGCATACAATTCAATTGAGATCTTATATGCATGGGTTAAAAAATCTTAATACATGCAAATTGTCTCATTAATTCATACATATATACTTGTAAATATTTCACTTAATACACGTATATACTTATAATAAATATTTTTAATATATTATTATATTTAAGATGTCATATTTTATTATGCATTCAAGTTATATGAAGTTTAATTTTTGAATCATTTCACATGAAAGATGATAAGATTTGAATCTTTCTATTCTTTCTTTTGAAATCCATGAATTTAATGAAAATAAAATATAAACTTTGGATCCAATTGAAGATTATAAAGATGCATCCAAGTTCCAATCTTTAAATTTTATAACATTTTTTTTGATAATTTATCAAATTTATTGAAGGTCTTATATCTTTTTTATTTTAAGATGACATATATTATAAAGTATGCTATATTAAGAGATAAGTAGTTAGAAATCATATTAAGATTCAAATAGATGAGATTTTTTGTGGATTTAAGTAAAAATATCCAAAAGTATGACAAAATAAAAAGAAACTTTAACTCTGATTGTTTCCAATTTATAATATAGCCAAAGCCAAATTATTAAAAAATAAAATTAAGAAATCTTAAATATGCCATCATAGGAATATTTTCTATATATAGCTTTATATTATCATTGATTTGTACTTTTTAATATCATGTGTTTAATTAAGCTATATTTCATTTATAATATAATTTTTTTTTACACATGTTAACAACTACAATAGAAGAAGTAAAATGGACCTTGCTAGAAGAAGTTCTAAGCACATATTACAGCACTTGCATATATACTATACATACAGTTTCATGAAAATGAAGTAAAATTAAAAATTGAGCCAAATGAATGAATAAAATTGACACTCAATGAACTAAATATAATCCAAAAATACTTATATATTATTCTAAAAAATATATTCATTTTTCTTTTTATTTTTAGAATATATTATCATAATTCCATATTAAAAGATAATGTATTTATTTTGATATAGTATTTTATAAGATATATCAAGATTTATTTTTGGATAATAATATTTATTTAATTTTCTTTGTTATTAGGTAAGATTTTCAACCATATTATTAAATATTAATTCATTTTAAATTCTACAAGATCTTTTTTGTAGTATAATCAATAAAAAAATTTAAAAAATCGAAGCATGGGTATATTTTTTTAATCCATTTTAAATTTCTTCTATCCAAATATGTAAATATGTTTTGATATTTGTAATAATTTTAAACCATCAATAAACATAGCAAAAACATTCTTTGATTTGATTCAAATACATCAAAATATGTAAAATTACATAATATTTTTAGCTTTTCAAGGATTTTTTTGTCAAAATTAATCCATCTTTAGAAGTCAACTCTAAAATAAAATATATTTTTGATTTTTGATTTTAATTCAATGAAATTTTGTTGAATTGATATCATTTATTAACAAACAAGCCACAATTATTGATATCTTATTAATTCTTGAACGATACTTCAATTATATACTACACACAATATATATTGTATGCAATATTATAGAATTTAAAAGCCTTAATTATTCAAAAGATAATTGAAATAAATATCATT